GGAAAGAGGAAGGCTATATTGGGGACAGAAAGAGGAAAACCCTTATCCATCCTGCCCTCTGATTGGGAGTGAGTGACCCAGCACAGTGCATTAACGCACAGCCTTAGGAGTGGTACAGCCCAAGCATTTTTGATCCCAGTTACCCCACTCAATTAAACAAAACTGAGGACACATCTTGATTTATGGGCAATAGCTCTTTGCGAAACTTCCATAAAATTAGGACATATACAAGGACTAGATAAAACAGGAACTAACATTTAGTAGTTTCCTCTCACATTCCAATGGACTGGCTCTCCCAGCCCCTTCTCTTCACCCCAGTCTCTGGAGACACACACCTAGTGATGGGCTGGCAAATGTTTAACAACAAGTTCTATGGGGGTGGAGGGGTAGGGGTGGGAATGGGCGGGGGCAATGATACACAGCTCTTGCCAGTTTCAGTGGTGTGAGTACTCCCAGCACAGCCGACTTCAAACTGCCCCCCACCCGTGAAGTCACTGTAGGTGCTGTCAGGAAGACGTGCTAATGGGCTCTTACAAGCTGGATGAACTGACTCCAGCATACCAGGGAAGCCCCTTTAAGATCATCATTGTAGAGCCAGGGGTGATTGGCAAACCAGAGCCTGCAGGTAAAATCTAGCTCACTCCCTGTTTCAAATAGTTTTTTGCTAACACAGCCAGGCTCACGGGTTGTCTCTGGCTACCTTCCCCCTACAGGAGAACCTGTGGATTCTCAGCCAGCAAAGCCTGGAAGATTTACTATCTGGCCCTTAACAGAAAGTTTGCCCACTCCCATTCTAGAGGGCAAGGGGCCACAGACTGTTTGCAGCCTCCAGACATTCATCCCTGAGTCATTCTGGAACTTCTTTCCACTTTTCATCAAAGAGCTGCAATGCAAGATGGTCTCCATCTCACGCACAAAAGCCTGCACTGTTTTTTACTGCAAAAGTAACATTGCTTTTGTTTGTTTGGTGTAGCTCAGCCTCTCTTGGTATTTTTCAGGAGGAAAATGCATTCTAAATTCCACCTAATCAGGGAACTGAGCCTTCGACGGTGCCTGTCATTTCCCCACAGCCCTTTCGCAGAAGG